TACACCTTGATATATGTACATATATACATACAAATATACAAAAAAAATACGCACAAAAGAAATGGCATATATTTGGCCGGTTTCTATTTAGCACTTTATACTATACATATTTACTTACTGTTTATATCTACTTGTATATACATACGTACATATGTACGATGGGAAGAATGCAAATAGTGAAGAGACGTATTAGCAAGTTGCGGCTATTTTTCCTTATTATTTTTTTATGTATAAAAATATATGTAGCTTACTATCTAAAAAGCACCATGTAAATCAAAATTTGAAACTTTGTGGAACATTTATAAAAACTCTACGAAGTTTAACAAATGATCATCCAAATTTGATACTTCTTAATCAGATTTTTTTTGAGTATGCAGTTTTTAAATTTTAGTATAATAAATTGCAAGTTTGAAGCAGCTAGGATTTAACGTTGATTTTTGGTAATTTTTTAGTCACGCATTTTTTCCACATCCAAAGTATGGATGCATTCCAAAACGTCAAAATAAAGAGCATCAGTCGCTTTTTATTTCTTTTTATTTTATTTTATTTCTTAGGATACAAAACTGCATACTCGGGTTTTTTGTAAGAAATCTAATTAAAAAGCTGAAAATTTTGAAAGAACTGTCGAGTTTTCCCATTTTTTGACATTTGAGTTACGTGGTTTTTGTTAGATAACGAGCTACACTTTCATAAGAAAATAATAAACATTATTTATGTAGGCGAAAGGGAAATAGCTGAAAAATGCTAAAACGTGTCTTCCTATTTATATTTTCGCCACTGTATATGGATACATAGTACATATGTATAGATAATATATGTAGATAATGTACTATACATAAATACATATCTATTAAGGAATTTTCGTGGCTATGTTTATATGTACATATTTTTTTTTTTTTCGTGGCTTTATGGACCCTGTAGTCCAAGATTGTTGGCAGTAATACTGTAATGTATATGCCAGGTTATACAAGAGTATTGAGGTAATCCGTTGATTCTTGAAGTCTCCCGCTATCTCAGAGGTTCTTCCTTTGATGCTCCTTGCTGTGCCGAATATGGGTGGAGGTGTTGGTGTGCTTTGACAAAAAGAAGATACACAAAACAGATACAAAGACAAAACGATTACATTGAACATACAGTTTCTCTAATGCAAACAGATATGCATTGAACATACAATTTTTTTTTTTTTTTTCTTTTATTTATTTACATTTGTACATCGACATGTAGCATAGTTTACACGTAAGTCGGAGCCCGTGGCTTGTCTTTTTAAAAAAGAACCGATTATATATTAATATAACATATTGATCGGTCCGATGAGTTTACAATTATTATTATTTTTTTTTTTTTCCTTTTTTAACGTTATTGACATATAAAAAGTGTTTATTGTTCAGGTACATTAGAAATTTATACATCAACTTTATTTTTTTTTTTTTTTATAGATCTATACTCCGAAAAGTAATAGAAATTAGGCATGTGTCTTTGGAATGAACATAAAAGCGAAGGATTATTTACGTCCTTTACGCCTTGATCAGTCTTATATAAGGTTAACAAAGTTTTTAGTTTTATTGGCTTTAAATTGAGCGATTAAGTTGTTTGGCGATTCTTTTTTTTTTTTTTTTTACCCTTTTTTTTTTTTTTTTTTTTTTTTTT